AAAGAAATTCTATTAAAAGTATTGTCTTTAAATAAATTGCGTGATTCAAATTTATTTAAGACTTTAATATAAATTACGAACACGAAATACTTGAAAATTGAAAAATTAAAGAAACTTGATGAACAAACAAGAAATATAATTCATTATCTTTGTAAGGACAGTGCTTGGTGCACTACCAGACATATGGGTCCCATAATCATCACTACCTCCACCATTTTACCCCACCCCCTACCCCCACAACCCCCCTATCTATACATTCTCTTCATCCCCTGTAACCCCATTTTACTCTTATACATTTTCTTGAAATTTACTCATACATTCTTGAAAACCCCCTTTTCATGGAACCAATTCTTAGTGAAAAAGGTACAAAAATGGAGCAAGATTACAATATGGGTATGTGTTCTGAGGATGAAACAGAGCTTGAGTTGGGGTTAGGTCTTAGCCTTAACAGTGGGGGTGGGGGTGGTGGGGTGGGGGGAAAGACTAAGAAATCACCATGGGGTGAGTATGGTAGGATTTTAACTGCTAAAGATTTTCCTAATGGATTTTCAGCTAAGAGATCCATTAATGTTGGTGTTTCTGGTACTAAAAGAGCTGCTGATTTTGCTGGTTCTACAACTGAGGTTGGATCTCCTCCTACTGGTGCAAGGTTAGAATTTCACAACTTTTTCATAAAAATGTGTTCTTTTTTCTAAAGTTAGTATATTTCTTGCATTTTTAGTCATGGTGGCATGTTTAGTTTACTCAAAGGGTCTTAGTGATTTTAGGTTCCCATGTAAAGTTTTCATTTTTTCCAAGAATTTCATAAATTTTCATAAAAATGTGTTCTTTTCGCTAATTTTAGTGATCTTTTTGCATTTTCTTCATGTTTAGTCATGGTGGTATGTTTAGTTTTCTCAAGAAATTGTGTATCTCAAAAGGGACTAAATGATTTTAGGTTCTTATGTAAAGTTTCTTTTTTTTTCTTAGGATTTTTGTCATGTGTTCCTTGAATTTCTCTTTGCTTTTGTTGTTTGTTGGTTCCTAAAGCAGAGTTCTTTCATTTGATTTTAGAGCTTTTACATTAATTTCATGACTAACAATGAAGTTTAAGTTTAGTTTACTCAAGAAATAGTGTATTCCTTGAAGGGTTTTAATGATCTTGAAGAAAAGTTCTTTCCTTTAATATTACAATTTTTCTTACATTAGTTTCATGTTTGTCTATGAAAAGTTGTGTTTAAGCTACTCAAGAATGGATTTTATTTTGTTTCTTGGATTTTTTTTGTTAGTTAGAGTATATTTTCCTTTAATTTGTTTTAGCTTTTGTCTTTGATGAGTTATTAGTTTAATTACTGATAGAAGCTGGCAGAGCATGCATCACCTTTTGTTCATCTCATTACCTTTAATCTAAAATCTGCCAAAAAAGTTGCTTTTGGTTGCCCAGTCATTATGATAATCTATCATTATATTCCCTCTAATCCTACTTTTAGTGCAACTTTGATAATTTTTGACAATTTCTTTTTGTACTTTTTTGAAAAGAAAAAGAAAATCATTTTGCAAAATTTCATATGCCCTCTTTCCTCTCTTTCTTAACTCTTTTCTTTTGACTTGTTCATTTTAGCTTAGATAACTAAGTTCATGAATTTGGATCTTGATGGATGATTGAGTATATAATTGATGATTCATTTATTTTGATTTCTAAAAGCAGTCAGGTTGTGGGATGGCCACCCATAAGGGCATACAGAATGAACAGCTTGGTTAATCAATCAAAGGTTCTAAATGCTGATGATGAGAAGGGAGTTGGCGGGAACGATAAGAAGGAGCACTCGAAGAAGAAGATCAATCATGGGAACACTAAGGATGATGCAGCATCGGTTAAAGAAAAGGGGCATCTTGGTTTTGTGAAGGTGAATATGGATGGTTTGCCTATTGGAAGAAAGGTGGATTTGAATGCTCATACTTGCTATGAATCGTTAGCCGAAACCTTGGAGGATATGTTCTTTAAATCTACCAAAAGTACGGGTTCTGTTTCGAAGTTTACTTCTTGTTTCGTTACTTAAATTGGCTCTAAATACTAGTTTTCTCGGCCTTTGGCTAAGATCAAGCGTAGTTATTTGTTTCTCCCATGCATTATACATACTACATAGGCGTGGAATACCCTATTCCACGCCATGTTTTACGGTAGAAAAAGGACTAAATGAAACAAATCGGTTGCATGTTTTGTGATGTTTTTGTTATGAAGTGATTGTTGATGTTCCATTTTTTTTTATAGGCGGTGAAAAGGAACAAGCAACTAAGTCTTTTAAGCTCTTGGATGGATCATCTGAATTTGTGCTCACATATGAGGATAAAGAAGGAGACTGGATGCTTGTTGGAGATGTTCCATTCGGGTAAGAAATTCCGTTAATTAGTACTATGTCATTTTTGCAAAAAGCATCGAAATATTAGAAGCCTAAGTTCTCATCAAGCCCCACAAACCAAAAAAAAGAAGAGAATATATTAGCAAACATGAGGTATTGATGATCTCAATTCTCATGTATATATATATATAATATCATATTATATGCATGGTGCTTTTGGTGGACCTAATTCATGAAAGCAAATGATCACACCTTCATCATCCAACGAGGAAGTACAAAACGAAAACGAATAAAACAATAGGGGCATAAAACTATCAGTATAAAGGATATCCATAGTACATCAGTAGCATGGAGAAACACCATCAACCTTGATGTGGTTAGATATATGTAATCGGTCCATCTCTAACTAGAGGTCTCATGTTTGAGTCTTGAAAATGAAGAAATTCTTGGAAAGTGTGTTTTTTCCTTAAACGGGCCCTACACGTCATGAAAAAGTAGCATAGAAAGTATGATCTTCATTTATGCAAAATCAAGTTGTTATCATTTCTAGCTCCCCACTCTAGTTCTTTATATGTTCTAATACTTTCATGTGTTATATAGGATGTTTCTCAACACTGTGAAAAGGCTAAGAATCATGAGGACTTCTGAGGCTAATGGACTTGGTATGTACATAGCCATGCCAAAAGAACACACTCAACCTCTCCTTTTGTTATATTACTCGAAAACTCTTCAAAAGTACTCCGAGGTGCAGGGTGTGTTAGATCCTCCAAATCCAAAAGTAGTGCATTTTTGGAGAGTCCGAGCAATATAACCTTTTTGTCATTTTGTTTCCTTAGCTCTAACACTAGTTATTGGTTTACTTTCAGCTCCAAGAATCCCTCAGAAGCAAGAGAAACACAAAGGAAAACCTATCTAAATATGCTTGGTGCAAGGAAAATGCTTGGTAAAAAAAAGTTTGGAAGAAACAAAAAGTAAAACAGAAATAGGGATATTGTTACTTTTTTTCATGGTTGCATTTTTTGTTTTGCACCATTTACTCTTCAAAAAGTGCCCCACTTTTTTGTGTTTTTTTTTTTTGGTTTAGGTCTCAAGCTCCCCCATCATATAGTTGATATACCAATGTTTTTGCCCCAAATTTTACCTACCTTTCTCATGATGTAAATATGGGAATGCTATTTTCCACTTTTTGTGTGTTTTGTGTTTGTTGCAAGAAATTCTATTTATTTATTTGTTTATTTTAATGTTGATCAATCTCTTTTTGTTTGGTGGTATATAGAGATATATATTATATAGAATTTGCTAGTGGTGAAGTCATTAAAGACACTAGTTGTTGAAAGTTCTTAGCAAATCCTCTATTGTGGATTGTGTCCATCATTACATGACTGAAAAAAAATTGAGAATTTAAGTTTGAGTTTGTCCAAAGTCCTATCATGTGCTTGGTGCTAAAGTCATCTTCTGAGATATAGTGCATGCACTTAAATTCTACAATAACATATCAATATAATATCGCAAGTGAAGTCTATAGTCTCATAAGTGAGGCTTGACAAGGGTAGAACATACTGCGTGGAAGAAACAATCATGTAGAGGGATCCTCTACTCTTTTGCTCGACTTTTAGACCCTCCTATTAACGGTATGATTTTAGTAAGTTAAAATCGAGTCATGTTTTATTATTTCTTCCTAAACACAAGTATATACTATGTTTAGTTTGTCTAATCACATAGTAGTAGTTTAGATAAGGTTGGAATACTAAAAAACAAATAGACTGCTATATATAAATTTATATTCTTATGAAGAAATAATTATGATTATGACTGATGTTAGTCATTCTAAACATAATTATTTCATTGATCAAGTGACAACTGTATTCCAATACTCCTTGTGGAGTCCATAAAGAAACAAGATAAAGTATGATAAAAGATACTTTCATTCGATGTTTATATTAAATTAATGAATACACGCTAATAAGGTTATATCTTAAAAGAGTATGTTATGTGTATACGTAGATATCTTATCGTAAAGCAAAGGTCAATAATTTATCTCACGGAACTTGAATATGTAACCTATAGACTACGTAAAAATATCTTTATCGTTGCTTCAAGATTTACTTTCCGATACAAATACTGATTATAATAGTATAGTGTTTCTAGGAGGTTCCTAACATAAAGTATAATAAACCTCATGCGCTATCCATTGTGTTTTGTTCTTTTTTCTTCACTTTTTCCTAACAATAGGAACCCTACACAATGATGAAACTATTTGAGTTCAGATCTCATTCACCAATGTGTGTCACTTCCAAATTATCTTTCAAAAAAAAGGTTTTTCGTTTTTTCACTCGATGTTCGAATTTCATATTGAAGCTTCTATTAAAAACAGGGGCTTGTTTTGAGGTGACGCTCTCAGTAAAATTTTCTCCATATCCAGAGCTCGAATTCGAAACCTCTGATTAAAAGTGTAACCATCATGATTATATATTATACTTTTTTTAAAATCTCTAATATATGAGGGAAAATTGTTGACCAATGTAATTTGTGGTTCATAGTTACTTGTACATCTATCATAACACAAAATTAGAAAATGAACTAACTTGTGATGATTTTGTATAGGGTGATTTACACAAATAGGATATTTCCATGTTATCAACATGTTATTAGAGTACGATAGAGAAGTTATATCGAGATATTAATCTTTTAAATGAGACGATTTTACAAAATTCAGCTCGTCTTTGACACATTCCACAAGCAAATATAAGTAACTACAGCTAAGAGTACTTGACAAAACTGCATTTTGTCACTGAAATCAGAAACACAAACATCTTCTGGTGTACATTACAAGCAAAAGTTCAAGCTTTATCGCGTTTTAACATGAACAATAACGCGTTTACTGCAGAAAATCTCGAGGATCAGTAACATGGCCAGTTAATGCAGATGCTGCAGCTGTATATGGAGATGCAAGATAAATTTGACCTTCCTTGTGGCCCATTCGCCCCGGGAAGTTCCTGTTTGTGGTTGAGACACATACCTGGAAAATCGAATCGTTCATTGATCAGCTCAATGTTGTTCCACACTTCTATAGCGCGATTAACTTTCCTATTTCACTTTTCATACTAGCATTGGTGAAACTTACCTGAGGTTCGTTCAACCGAGCATGAGTATCTCTAGGACCACCCATACAAGCACCACAACTAGGACTTGCTGGTGTATCGCAGCCAGCATCCTCGAAAATCTGTGAACATGTTTTGCCACCAGATTCTGGAACTGGGATAGTATATAAATCCATCCAGACCTGAAACATTGCTAAGTTTATAACGGACAGATAATTTCCGATTGTTGTCAAACCATATGGTATGCCACCATGACATTCATGTTGTATATAGGTGTGTCTGAGTCCGGAAGAACAATACATTAAGAGCACGAACCTTCTGCGTAGCAGGGACGAGAAATGTTGGAACTTTGACCTTCTTTCCCTGTGAGGATTAGCGATGAAACCAAACAAGAAATCTTAGTGATCAATATGGTAAAAAGTTTATGTCACATCCCAAACTTCCACCGAGAAGTATCATTTAAGCACGGTAAAGATATGACACCTGAGCTTAATTCAACCCCCAAAAGCTAGCTCACGAAGGGAAGATTATCTCAAGTCTATCCATATATGCAGACCACGATTCCCCAACCAACATGAGACTCTAACAGACTCTAACACCCCTCCCTTCATGCAACGGGAGCCCATACAGGGATGATTCATCCCTGGCTCTGATACCATGTAAAGATATGACACTAGAGCCTAACTCAACCCCAAAACGCAGACACCTTTAGGTGTAGTACTGAACATAGCTTAACAAGCACAAAATGCTTATTCAGCTATACATCAAAGGAATAGGATCTATTTGGAAAGGTACAAGGCATGCGTTTTGAGGGACTTTTGTGCATTAACAGGAAGACAGGCATGTCAATAAACGGACGGTATAAGAAATTACAGAAGACAAGTGTTACAGAATAGACATGTATACTTTTCATATGCATAGTGAAGTTATTGAGAAAGAGATATCATCTTACTGATGCTAGAAAAACTTTGGCAGCAGCCATGAAGTCTTCTGTTTTCCCACCGGTACAAGATCCAATATATACTCTGTCAATCTTAACATCTTCGCATTCTCTTGCCAAAGCACGATTGCCAGGAGAATGAGGCTGAAGAGACATAAATAAGTGCATGGCGTCTACGACAATGTGTTTGTATTTATGATGTATATGTCAAAGTATTAACAGCCAAATTCACCTACCTTTGCTACTAAGGGCTCCAACTTTGAGATGTCGAAATGATACTTAGCAAGAAACCTGGAATTTATGGCAATTACCTCATAAGTCATAATGAATATCATCTTACCAAACATGCTAAGCTATTTCTTCTACTTTAAAGGGGACGCTCATGCACGAAGCATCCTGTGTTCACATAAGGTCCAGGGAAGAGCCTGCACCCCAAGTGAGTGTACCCCGACACAAGCATCAGTGACTGATTCTACGGCTTGAAACAGTGACCTATAAGTCACACGGAGACAATTTTAACATTGCTCCAACGCTCTCCTTCATAAATGAAATTGGAGACACGTAATGGCTAAGGAAAAACACAAGTGGTTATATACCAATGTCTTTTGTGTTGGATACCTGGCTTGCTCATCACTGTAGACAGGTTCATAATGCACAGTAGTCTTGTCCTGTGACCAGAAAACACGAAAGACGTTCATAAGCAAGAGAACTGGTCTTATTTCACTTAACCAAGCAGATGAAGGGAGTAATTAAGACATCTATCATATGTTGATTTATCATAAGCTAAACTGGAAATGTTAAAACTTACCTTAAGGTAGTCATATGTTGTTTTATCAGCAGGAATAACACCATTCTTTCCACCAGCTTCGATAACCATATTGCATAATGTCATTCTCTCTTCCATCTTTTGTCATACGTAAAACATAGAGATATTAATAACTCTGAACAATATAACTCGATTACCTCAAATGAAAACTCAACAAACTTAACTGTTAAACTTTCAACAGCAGTACCGACAAATTCCATTGTTTTGTATGTTGCACCAGCTACAGAAATTTCACCAATAACCTGGCATGTCCTGAGTGATATACAAATACGTAGCACATGCCAAAAGGGGAAAGTAAAGAAAATAGTAAGAGGCTGTCGAAGTAACTCACTTGCAAAATCAAATCCTTAGCTAGTATGTAATTCGGAATTTCACCATCCAATACAAATCTGATAGTTGGAGGAACCTGTATGTCACAGTAGATCTATGTGAGAGCTGCAGGAACTTGACATACTATACATGTAAAATGAGACATGGACATGCGATCCACGCTAAATTAACTAAACTTTGAGATATTCATGACAGGTATATATCCTTTTTCTCTACTTATACACAATAACAAGTATATGAATCAAAGGAATGTGGTCTCCAGATGAGAAGTTACTTACCTTGAGCAAAATCTTTCCAGTACCCAGAACAAAACCAGCATCAGTATTTCCGATTCCAGATGCAAATTGACCGAATGCTCCTGCAGTACATGTATGAGAGTCTGTACCTACCAAAACCTGCAAACAAAACTGTAAAGTCAAAAGAAGGGCATTGAAGGACAAGCCGTATTAGGATCTTTGCGTGTGTAGCACAAACTTCACCTCTCCTGGTCTGCAGTGACCTTCTTGGGCAAGAGCAATGTGGCACACTCCTTTGTAATCTGGATTAGCCTGTCAACATATTCAGTCCACTATGTTTTAGCAACTGTTATAAAACGACAACAAAAGCTCGGAGTAACCATCATGTGTTGCTAAGGGATATAGACTCAATATCATACCTGGAAGTTTCCGAGGTCTTTAATGTCATAATAGTACTTAATATTTTGCTCATTGCAGAAGTCCCTCAGTGTATCCACATTACGATTTGCTCGTTCATCAGCTGTGAAAATGTAGTGATCGGGTATGACAACTACCTTTTCACGATCCCAGACCTAAGATATGAAGAAAACAAACAATCCCCGGCACTATTAGAGCCATAGAAGTGTCCCAACAGGAAAATCAAGGTCTGTTCAAGTGAATTTTTTACTGGATTAGAATTTAAGCATGGTACTCCGCATCAACTTTTCTCAGTACCTCAACTATGAATCACTGATCCTGTGCAGATGCTTCATCGCGGGGTATATTGTATAGTTAAGTTACTGCACAAATTCTACTTCCCTAGGTGATACAGAACCCAACTACACACGAGTCGAATGCTTGCCCTCTTTATACCATGAGCTTGGGAGTTCAAGTTACCAAGAGAGGAAAAGTTCAAGATATGAATGATTTTAAGTAGAGATACGAAAGCATCCCTTTTCAAGTTGTCAGAATGAGGAGTAAGATATTGAATCATATCTTTGGAGGCATCAAACTCTAACTTGCTCTTGTTTATACATGAAATTTCGTCAATTGTGAATGTTCATAAACCAAAAACTCCGGAAAACCTACAGACATAAATCTCTAACCATATATAACTACAAAGATGAAACTCAACTAAATTCAACGATATGGCTATTTTAGCATACCTTGGCATTTTCTCCAAATTCTCTTTTAAATACTCCAATAGCACCAGGCCCAGTAATATCATTTGTCATCAAAACATCGACATTGACCCACAAATTCTCACCTGGAACCACATGAAGCTTCTCAGAAGTCCTAGCCAGCAACTTCTCAGTCATAGTCATCCAACTCTTCACCTAAAAAAACAAAAAAATCACAATCACAAGCATCAAGTACCATTAAGCTATATGGAAAGTTTGCAACTTTATTCCCCAAATATGAAAAGGGGAATTATTTTATTATCATCGCGGTGTCTAGGTCAACTTTCTCGCACCTCAACTAGTTTCATGGGATACTTGTCACCTCCCACTAGTAACATGTAACTCTGTCCACTAAGACTAAGACAATGGAAGAAATCACCTAGTATTTTTTTTATAACTGTGGTGTCTAGGCCAGCTTTTGCGCACCTCAACTAAATCTACGGGATACTTATTTCCTCCGACCAACGTCACATATCAGCTAAGTCTGTCAACCAAGGGTAGGGCAGATAGAAAGAGATCACCTATTGTTTTTGTTTGTGCTAGAGTTTGAACAATAAACTTATCAAGTTACTTCATTGATCACTAAGCCACACGCATAGGTATATGATAGAAAACAATATAAACTCAACTGAGCCAGTGGTGGCAGGCATTCTTGAACTTGGTTGTGTGATCATAGAAACAATTTTCTTGGAAAATCTTCTCCTGGGACTTTGAGTGGGAAACTGATTTAGTGGAGAGAAATCAGATAAAAACACAACATTCTGCACATAAAAGAGAAAAACCAAAGTTGGATCACAGTGATTTTTTGATCAATTCTTGAAAAAAAAAATGAATTTTGCACGAATTCTCGTACCTTGCTGAGACAATAAGTAGAGCTGGTGGAAAAAGAAGCCATTTCCAGTAGCAGAGAACTCACTTAGCTTCTGAACTGTCCTTTGTGAATAGTAGTAAGAGATCATGTATGACATTTGTATATGGGGAAAAAATGCATGTTGTTGTTTTTTGACCATTACTTCCTCCCTCCGTTTCAATTTGTTTGTATGATTTTGACTTGACACAAAATTTAAGAAAGAACAAAAATGTGCGAAGGCAAAAAGTGACTAGTATAGCTGTTGAATGTTGAAATAAAGAATCATAATTGATCAATGAAGTATAATCTTACCAATTAGATTTTGATATTGACAGTAAAAAGATAAGAGTAGGTCCTTCATTTTCTAATATTGTACAGTTTCTTGATCAAAGTAGATCTAAGATAGCATTATACACATCTGATATGACAGCTAAGTTATATGCCATTAACATCAAATACCCCTTCAAGAACAAATCGAGTTCAACTTGGACCCGACATCCATGCCTGGACAACGAAATTTCTCGACCATATCAACATCTCTCAGCAAGTTTATATAGGTCTTAATAGTCTTCAAGAATAACACATATTAAGTACTTCCACACGTACACTTTAATCTAGCCACATTAATACCATAAAGTTACTAGATAATACAAAAGGTCATTCATACATGCACCTAGGACAGCTAAAAGACATAAATCTTGACATTTAGTTTTACCATTTTCAACATCTTTCATGTGTTGTTCAATAGGAAAGGAAGTTAACCAGAAACTAGAAAGTACTCACTCCGTCAGCTTTCACGCATCTCGATTGAATCCAATGAATATTTATCACCTCGCACCAACAACATGTACCGGCTAACTTTGTCCACCAAGGAATACCTATTACCTTCAACCAGCAACAAGTACCAGCTAACTTTGTCCACTAAGGCTAAAACCTCGACTAAATCCACTGAATATCTATATAATAATGAGATCAATACTTCATTCCACTACGGACGTGGTAAGACTTTTAAACATTTTGTTAGATGGTGAAAAATTTCATGATGATTTCACATTTTGCTTTACAAATTTAAAGGTTAAATATTTAGATCAACAGTCATAATGTTCATTGAATATGTTCTCAATCCACCTTCTAATTTTATTTATGAAATTACAAATAAATTTGTTCAATTTTGCGTATTTTGAAAAAATTATAAATAAAAGGACAATTTTATTATATTTTTTAAAATATATATAATTAATATGAAGAATGAACAATATTATTGAATATCTAAAAATAATATAATGGCAACTATAGTTAGACGGAGGGTGTGATTATTACTAGGTGATATTCATTTGTGCTTTGAATACGAATGGATATGGAATTAGTAATATTTGCAATTAAATCACATTACAAAGATGTGTAGGATAATTTATCATAAATACGATAGTAATATTAATAATAATATATTCGAGCATAATATCATAATCAGTAATTAAGAAAAATATTATATTGGTAAATTTTATCATTATGTGAGATATAAAATTGGTTTTGATAAATGTTTGGTTCATAAGGAGTATAATCAATAAATAAAAAATTAAAATAGTAAAATATAAGACAAATGCATTGATAAATAGTACTTGATGACTAAAATTATAAGTTACACATATAAATTTAATAAATTGACACTATTCAGCAAAAATAATTAAATTTTCTTCCCTTCTCCAACTATCAATGCTTATGTCATATCTCCAAACGCACTGAAACACTATATCTCAGAGATGGAATAGGTTGATGATTGGAGAAATGGTAGAACAATCACGTCATCCGTCCACCACTTCGCCGGCGTTTCTTGTCTTTCTCTCCACATACTCTGTAAGTTCTTCCATTTTCTTGCATAAAGTTGAAAGCTTTTTATGTAATTGTATCTTGGTGTGGAGAAAATGTCACTACTTGTGGAGACGGGGTGGTTTGTGGAAGCTCAGAAGGCATTAGCATGAATTGTTATCTTATTTGAAAAAGATGGGATTTTTCTACTTGCATAAAGTTAAAAGCTTTTTATGTATTTGTTTCTTGGCGTGGAGAAAAGGTCGGTAATTGTTGGGTTAGTTGAGGGTGGGGTGGTTTGTGGAAGCTCAGAAGGCAAGAATTTGTTATATTGTTTGAAAAAGATGTGAATTTTCTTCTTGCATAAAAAGTTAAAAGCTTTTTATGTATCTGTTTCTTGGTGTGGAGAAAAGGTCAGTAATTGTTGGGTTTGTTAAGGGTGGGGTTGTTTGTGGAGGCTCAGAAGACAAGAATTTGTTATGTTGTTTGAAAAAGATGGGGTTTTTCTACTTGCTTAAAGTTGAAAGCTTTTTATGTATTTGTTTCTTGGTGTGAAGAAAGCTTTTTATGTATTTGTTTCTTGGTGTGAAGAAAGGTCACTAATTTTTGGTTTAGTTAAGTGTGGGGTGGTTTGTGGAAGCTCAGAAGCAAGAATTTGTTGTATAAAATAAAATTTGTGCACTTCTATTCTGTCATCCTCCTGCGCGATTATACCCGAGAAACTGCCAGCAGAGTATGCTGAGTTTTCTGATGTCCCTAAGTTGTCGTTTCAAGATAAATTTATGGTATCTATTTAATTTTATTCCGTCTCCCTTTGTCATGTAAACTGTGTTACTTTTTTTTTTTTTGCAGAATCTAAGACAGACGCTGGATGATCTCACACGTAATGGTTTCTCTGTGGTTAGTGCCATCCCCAAACTGTCAGTTGGAACTTTCATTATACCTTTTGTTGGATAAGTTCTTATATATTTCTTATACATGAGTGGTGAAGTGGAACTTTAAATTGGTATGCTAATGAACTTGTCAGAGTTGGCTTTTTCTCTTGAAGAATTAAAATGATGTCTTTTGTGAGTGAAGTTATGATCTGATTAATGCCTTGAAGTGCTGATTTCTTATGATGTTCTTTCGACCATTTAACTTGATATCTTCCTACTTCCCTCCTACTCTTTTTTCCACATATAGCTTCAAGTGCCTCTCTGTCCTCACTTCCTTTTAGTCATGCACAAAACAGATTTAGTAATTTGTACAGCTGTGTAATGTTTGCATTTGTAGTGTGTCGTGGAGGAAGTTCAGGGTCCAACTCAAGCTCGTGCTCGTAAGAGCCAATTTATATCAGGCTAATTACTTATGAATAGCTCAAGATTTCTTACAAGTACAATATTATTTGTGGGTGCGATTATATTTATTTTTATATCACTTGGATTTTTTCATGTCAGTTGAATCTACTAATATCTGCTAAGATGCAAAAATGTTAGTTGTGAGAAATGAGTAAAGCTTTTCAGCATGGTAGCATAACCAAAGTATCATACATATTCGTAAGATTTACATCACTGACATTTTTATACTCTTAGAAAGGATTGCGGAATGATCCTAATCTGCGGTGTCTTACAATTGAATTGGTCTTAATATTTTAGGCATGCACATCCAGGCAGTCCCTATGTTTTTGGCCTTGTTGGAAATGATCAAGATCTTGATTTTCCAGAACCAATGCCTGTTGTTGGTCATGTCTGCTTGACCACTTATTCTCCAGCTAAAAGCCAGAATATGGCAGCAACTAATCACTCCAAGCTAATTTGGGTTTACTATTTTTTTTTATCAAGTAAAACTAGTCTCATTCATAAACATGACGAAAACGGCCTATACAAAGGTTATACCAAAAGATATGATACCTGCAAACTCCACCCAATCCTCTATTCAACGAGGAACTTTTTGTTCACACCAAAAGAAAATAAGGGAGCGGAGACTACTCCTCAACTGCAAGAAACTTGACTCCACACCATCAAAAGCTCTCCTATTTATCTCTCTCCAAACAACCCATTAATGCAATTAGAACCACGGTCGAAGTCCTTTGGCTTCTCCTCCTCCCGCTCGTCCAACTGAGCATCCAAATCTTTCACGGTTCTTGGTATTGTCCAAAGAGTGAGAAACCATCTAAACATATCCCACTATAATCTTATGGTAAGCCCACAATGTTGAAGAAGGTGATCCAGATCCTCGCCCGCCTCGTTGTGCATGTAAGACCAATTGAAGCAGACAATCTTCTGTTTTCTAAGATATTCCATTGTCAAAATAACCCTTCTAGTGGCTAGCCAAGTTAAAAAAACACCCTCCTAGGCACACATAAATCATCACTATCTGTTCCTCTCCATTTGGACCTATTTCATTCCAAGATTTTATAATTCGGAGCTTTCCTATGCTAGAAGTCCCATTTCTACTGACTAGTGACTGCTTCCTTGATCACTCAAGTAGCAAACAGCATTTTTGTTCATTAGCACCTCATATTTATTAGTTATGAAAGATTAAGCAGTTTCACTTGCAAATCACAAACTAAGATTCTTATTTGGTGTGTACAGGAATATCCCGTTCAGCGAAGGGGTATTGCATTATCTCTGTTTATGGGACTATGAAGACTTGCTTTCTGGAGGATGGCCTAACTGAAGAAGCCGTAGTCACCAAACTTCGTACTTTTTTTTTTTTGAGAATTGGTAAACAAACCAAACTTCGTACTTATCGATGCCATCATTTGTTTTTGCATAATTCATCAAAGAAAAATTCTTCAGGTTTGCAGATTGCAGTTTTGTTCTTACCGTTGCTTATTAGGGAATTAAGTAGCTTGGCTAAGGGACCTAATACCCACACACTCGGGCATTCTAGTTATAGTTACATATATTTGTTTGGATGTATGTAGGTGAAGTTAAATTTGAGATAGACCAATTCAACATGTCTCTGTAGGAGAAAAAATTGGTTTGATTGCATACAGTATGATCCCAATGGCTTTTTGAAATCTAGAACGTTATGATAGAGGCCCAACTGTACTCATGGAAAGTAGTAGAATAAACCTGAATGAACTTATCAAAAAAATAAGAAGTCTCACTGGAATGACATCGACAAGGTGTCCAACCTTTATAGGTTCCATCGTTTCATGTACAACAGCTGGAATCTTCATTAGGACACACAAAGAATAGTCTGTTTATTACAAATCTTCATGGGGATCAATCCAATACACTTCACAGTGGGTTTCAGATAATATGAAGTTGTTAGGAGTGATCCAGATCAGGGGAATGGTACGAATGGATAGAGAGAGGCCGTAATCTTATCAGAACAACAATGTTCAAGAGTAATACAATGAGGTGGCTGTGTGACACACTAAAGGAAGCATCGTAGGTGAAGGGGTATTCTATTAAAAGTTGGAGACTTTGTGACCATGTTTAAGACACTTGCTGCGCAAGAAACTATAACAGTCATGGCCGGTATGTTACAATCATTAACATTTAAGGTAGGAGGACATCAATTATTATTGTCCCTGAGATGACATTTAATTCAGGGTAGATGGAGATTGCCTTAAAAGATTGAGAAGTCAATTAATCAAGGTGTCAACCAGAATTCCAGAACCAAAACCATTTAAGACAACACATTCAGGGCTCTTATATTTGGATTCTGTCCTGATGGGCCTCAAGACAGATGGGAGCTGCGAAGTCCAGGCATGGGGAGATCCTTTATTGAGAGTGAACAATCACACTTCGAGCTTGGTTGAAAAACAGTCAACAGCAACCTTTGACGTCCCAATCCTGTTGGAAATTCACAGATGGGTGAGTAGCATATGGAAGCAGATACATATAAATATTTTTGAGATGGGTTACAATAGATTCTCGTTTCTCCTCAAAGCTATCAGCGACAACAACCACAACTTATCCAGTATAATTCCACAAGTAGGGTCTACAAGTGGGGTCTGGAGAAGGTCGAATGTACTTAGACCTAACCCCTACCTTTGTGGGGTAGATAGGCTGTTTCTGATAGATCTTCGGCTCAAAAGAAATGTTTCTGAAGCAAAATTGTATGAATAATATAACAAAATAGCAAGATACAAAATAATTGAGGCAAGAGGTAGATATACATATTGACGAAAAAGAGACTACGTGACTATTAAATAATCCCTACCTCTCCTCGAAGCTATTGATGGTACATATTCTAGAAGGAACCTGGTTCCTAATGAATTTCAAGATTTTCTTTCAATGGTGGAGCCACTGTTGTCAAAGGTGTGCGTAGAGGCATAATATTGGAGATCCGATATAAGTGTACGCGGTGGACAGAGTTTCGATGGGAGCGGAGAAGAATGAAAGAAGTATAAGCCAAAGGATAACAGAAGAATCCTACAGTCGGGATGAACTCAATTCAAATAGTCGGGACACTGCACGTGGTGAGCAGCAGGAAAGCATAAGATTTAATTATAACTAACATGGCCTACCACGTGGACATGAGCTATCTTTTTCTTAAGGCCCTGGGAAAGCAAAGGGGAAAACCGTTTGCCCTTCAAAATCTGCTGGAATCATGAACCAAAAGAAGCCCTTCCTCTATAAAGGTCTGATCCACTAATCGAAGAAGTGTCTGCTAATACTACGACACAAAGCAGTCAAACGGTTAAAGGGATTCTTGCGAGGCATATAGTTCATAGTTCTTGGAGAACTCAGAAGAAAAAGATAGGTAACAAGTTGAAGAAAACCAGCATGTGTTTACTTCTGTGGACCAAGCAATTGTACTTCTGCATGCAAAAGAAAAGCATGGAGTATTCACTTGGATAAAATTCATGATCAGAGGAATCTCTCTGATGAAATTTTACCAAGACATCCCTCTCCATGGAATATAAAGAGATTGTGAAACATAGAGAAGAAGCATGGGGACAAAGATCCAGAGCTTTATGGTTTAAGTTGGGAGTACAAAATACAAGCTATTTTCATAGAGCAGCCTATGCCACAGAAGATATAACAACATTGATCAGTTGCAAGTGGAAGGGGTACTGATAAGAGATCCAAAGATTATTAAAGAAGAGATAGTGTCTTTCTACCCGAACCTCTACACATAAACAAAGGAGTGGAGTCCTCAAGGTGGTATGAGGGATTGGCCCAGGATAACAGTTCAGGATAATGAGATGCTTCAAAACTCGTTTTTCCCAGAAGAGATATGGGATTGGGAAGCAGTGAAGTATGTTGCAGGGGATAAAGTCCCAGGTCTGATGGTTACTGATATTTCTTTATAAGGTGCTAAGAGGTGGTCAGTACAGATGTCATAGCTATTGTACAGAATTTCTATGAGCAATGCATATTTGGAAAAAGCTTCAATGCAACTTTTGTGTCCATGATCCCCAACAAAGTTGGTGCCAAAGAACTAAAAAACTACACATCCATCAGGCTAGTCAGGAGTGTTTACAAAATTATTTCAGAAGTGTGTTTTTTTTTTTTGAGGAGGTAGAACTGTTGAATGAGAGGCTAAAGAAAGTGGTGGCAAGGTTGGTAGATGCACAACAAATGAACTTTATAAAAGGATTACAATGATGGATGCAACACTAATTGCTAATCAATGTGTAGACACAAGGCAAAAACAAGACCCCTGACATCCTATGTAAGCTAGACGTTGAAAAGGCTTATTTATGATCATATAAACTGGAACTATCTGCTGGATTCAGTGAAAAAGATGAGTTTTGGAGAGAGGTTGATTAGGCGGATCAAATATTGCATTAGTATAGCCAGATTTTCTGTTTTTGTTAAATGCAATTCAACAGGGTTCTTTCTTTCCCAGAGAGGAAGTAGGCAGGGGGATCCACTGTCCCCATTTATTTAACTGTAGCAATGTAGGGTCTGATGATATGATATAGAGGGCACAGAAAAACAACTGGATTAGGGGCTTCAAGGTTAATCAATTGGCGACTGTTACGTGGAAATATCTCACCTAATATATGTTGATGACACTCTGATTTTCTGTGGTCCAGATAGAGGCCTATGAAAGCTATTGAGAGTAATTTTTGTACTCCTTGAATCTATTTCTGGACAATAGATCAACTTAACTGAACAAAAGTCTTGTTTACCTAGTAAACGGTTCCAGAGCGACAAGAATTTGCTTGAACTAGCTATATACTTTGGAGGGGGGGGGGGCGATTGGAGAATTACCCGCTGTTTACTTGAATATGCCCTTTGGGGCAAAACGTAACTCCAAAAAGATATGGAATGGAGAAATGGAGACGTTTGAGAAGAAACTCTCCAATTGGAAGAGCCAGTACTTATCGTTAGGAGGCAGCTTGGTGCTCATTAATGTTGTCCGAGATGCTATATCCACTTACATGTTGTCCTTGTTCCTAATTCTGTAATTGTGGTTAACAAGATTGATGCTCTAGGAAGAAACTTTCTTTGGGAAGGCAATAGTGATAAAAAGAAGATCCACCTAGTAAAATGGAGCAACCTGCCACCAGTGTTGCCAAAGGTGATTATTGGGAAGTCCTAGGGTGGGGTGTACCAAAAAATGCACGGGGGTGAAAATGAATGGCGTAGATCCATAGGGCTGTGCCTAGAATTTGAGTTGTAAGTCGCGGGCGTAAAAGCATCCCGCCTGGGTGTTAAATTTCATTTTTGTTGCCTTAAAAGTATTTTTTCTATAGATCATGTTTTTATTATTGGTGTAATGATAGTTGTGGTTTATGCTATCATGTTTTCATATTGTAGTGATTTTTCCTAAAATATGTTATAAAGAAAGCAGAAAACATACATATACGTTAAAGCAAATACATCATTTAGGTGTAGGTTTTCAAATCCAAAGAGAATTAAATTCCCTTGTCTTTATTAACTTTTTCAGTTTAACTCCCAACATTCAATTATTGTAACAATTCCTATGATCTTCCTACATATAGGGAAGAAAATAAAAATCAACTACAGAAACCTACGGTAAAAAAAGTTAAATTTAGTCTTGAGTTCCTTTTCAAGCTCAGCTTCTCTTTCCAGATAAGTAGCACGCCTATGCAGCAGAATACCAAAATCTCTAAGGTTGTATGCTGATCTAGCATCTCGCATTTGCAGCTCCAACCCTCTTAAGTGGTGGCGTACATCCTCTAGCTCCAAACAGATTTCGCGCATGCGACCATCACTGTGACCAGAGTTCGAAGCCATTTCCGCTGTTAAATAATTGTTAAAAAAAGGGAAAATAATTAGTTATTAAAGTCAAACCTTTCTATAACACTTATATCTATAAAACAACAATTAATTATAGATGATGCAGATATCAGGATAGGATAAGCAAGGGCATTTCCACAGTCAATTTTTGGAGCCCCAGAATAACACGCAACCTCTACAACCTCTGTCCTTCGGGTGAGTGTTTTGTGCGCTCTGGGTAAACTCCCCACTGTGTAATAGCCTGTAAGCTACACAGGGGGATTTAAATCGCACTAGGCAAGCCCCATGCGACAAGCTCGACTTAGTAGGTATTGAGGGGGATCCATCCCGGGTCATCCGTGTGGATAAACACCCTCCAAACCTACTGAGCCATCCCGAAGGACATATCTAAAGTTAATTAATCATTAGAAAAAACAGAAAAGATGTAGTTGTTACGCCTCTCTACAACGACTGTAAGAAGTAGCGACAGAGAGATTCAACTTCTATAGGAACAAACAATGTGAAGAAATATAAATAATTAAACTAACCTAATGAGGTGATGCTCAACTTTATGAAAAATGTGATGAAAATAAAATGTTAAGCACTTGGGTATTTATAGAGGTTTTGATTACCTTATTTCATATGAGTTATTAATTAAGCTACCAATTTTCAAGATACAGAAGAAATGGAAGGAACTTAATTATTATTATCCTTTTTTTGAGAAGGTGACAATTGATTACCAAATTTCATATAAGTTATAAATTAAGCTACCAATTTTCAATATACAGAAAAAAATGGAAGGAACTTAATTATTATTATCCTTTTTTTGAGAAGGTAACAATTGATTACCAAATTTCATATAAGTTATAAATTAAGCTACCAATTTTCAATATACAGAAAAAAATTTGGAAGGAACTTAATTATTATTATCCTTTTTTTGAGAAGGTAACACTTGATTAACTAATTTCATATGAATACGAATTAAGTGACCAATTTCAAGATACAGAAGAAATGGAAGGAAGTGGAACTTAATTATTATTATCTTTTTTTTTTGAGAAGGTAACACTACTTTTATTATTATTATTTGTTAGTTTAATATATATATATCTATGGCCCCTCGAAGTTATCAGCGAAATTCATTTAGATACCCGAACTCCAATTTGTTCTAATTGAGGTACTAAATGGGTAATTTTCATAGATGGTCATATAAATATGAGTCTTTTTCACTAAAGTCGGTTAACTATATTTTTTAACAAAAAAATCACAAATTTTGCCCTTAGTAACACAAATCATTTGCTGGATAATCCAATTTTTGATGGGTGATCTTTTAATGTACTTTTTCAATATAAGAAAGACCTTGGCAGATTGAATGAAGTATTTTCTAGGTATTGAGGTTGCTCAGTCTAGATCATGTATTGTTATTTCTCAGCGCAAGTATGCCTAGACATTCTTGAGGAGACGGGAATGATGGAATGTAGACCTATTGACACTCCTATGGATCCGAATGTTAAACTCCTTCCAGGACAGGGGGAGCCACGTAGTAATCCTGAAAGGTATAGACGGCTTGTTGGAAAGTTGAATTATCTCACAGAGTGACTAGACCTAGAGTGACTAGACCTGACATCTCTTTTTCCGTGAGTGTTTTAAGTCAGTTTATGACTTCCTCTTGTGATAGTCACTGGGAAGCAGTTGTTCGTATTTTGCGATATATTAAGTCAGCTCCCAGTAAAGGACTACTCTTTGATGATCAAGGCAATGAGCATATCATTGGATATACTGACGCTAATTGAGCAAGATCAACCTTTGACAGATGTTCGACAGAATGTGGTTGCTCGATCTAGTGCAGAATCAGAATATCGAGCAATGGCGACAACAACTTGTGAGCTAGTTTGGATCACAAACAGTTGCTGGGAGAACTAAAATTTGGCAAAATTGATCAGATGGAACCGGTGTGTGATAATCTAGCGGCTCTTCATATCGCATCAAATCCAGCCTTTCATGAAAGGACTAAGCACATTGAGATTGACTGACACTTTGTTAGAGAAAAGATACTCTCTGGAGATATTGTTACGAAATTTGTGAAGTCAAATGATCAACTTGCAGATATCTTCACCAAGTCCCTCACATGTCCTCGTATTAATTACATTTGTAACAAACAAGGTACATATGATTTGTATGCACCAGTTTGAGGAGGAGTGGGGAGTGTTAGAATAGAAATAAGTATTCCTACTTAGAATAGGATTAGCTATAGGAATCCTAGTCGGAAAAGGATTCCAATGTAGTGTATAAATAGGATATTAATGTAACAATTTAGATACACAATTCAATAATATTTTCCCCATATATTACTCACAATCTCTATCACATCTAGGGCTGCAATCAGCTGAGATTGCTTGACTGCATTATCGGCAGTGGTCTGCTTGACAGAATTCTGCACCACGATTCAATCGATAAAGCACATCTTCCTGACTGTTGATCGCCAATTATGAGTGTTGTGCGGAATTTGAGATAATACGAGAAAATATAAACGCGAAAAATAAGACAACAGATTTACGTGGTTCACCAATAAATTGGCTACGTCCACGGGAAGAGGGGGAGCAGTTTTATTATGGAGAGGCAAAAACAGAATTACAGAATAGGGTTTGCCATAGCGTCTATATATAGTGCTAAGCTACGCCCTAACAGGCTTGGGCCCAACATACAGAATCAACAGAAAATAAAGGGCCCAATACAACAACATTGTATACCGTCGGGCCGGGGGCGTCTCCGCCCCCCCGAACCCCCAGGCCAGGGGGCGCGTCGCCCCCCTGGACCCCCCGACTCGCTGACCGGGCAGCGAGACCCCCGTCCTTTCTGTTTGTAGCGGGTCTGATTCAAGGCATTCAACAATGAGGCATCACGTTTTGTGTTGCATCCAAGTTAAGGCAACTTGATTGCTGCTTAAGCTGAGTTGTCTCAAGTTAGTGCTTTCTGTTCAGCTCATTTAACTTCTGAGCATTAAATCGAGCTTACATACTTGGCTTTGGTGAGCATCACCTATTAAGATTTCTATTAACATATTTATGGTAAATAAGAAATTTCTTTTTAATTTTTTTTGTTATTTTGTTCAAACAAACACTGTTTCATGGACATTGCTTAGATATTCTCCTTATTGTTCTCTGTTAACATCTCCTTCGTGCTCCCTACCACTCATTTTGAACCCCCTTCTCTCTATCTGTTTTTATCTGTTTCATCCCTTTCCCATCACTGCCACAACCTATGCAAGTATTACAACCCAAGCAATGACTATGACCACTGCCTTCTGTTCCACATATAACCTATGACCTCCAGAATGCCTCTTCATTTCATCTCATCTAGTCTCTTTTTCAAACTACCAGGAAGCTCCGAGTTTAGGTCGTTAGGACTGGTCTTTCTACAGAGCCAACCCTACCCTTTCCCTCACACATTGTGTAGGTCGAGATGATTGCAACACTTCAAATAATTCAGGCATTTGATAAATAGTTCCTACTTTACTCACTCAAAGAATAATTGCTCTTCTTTTCTCTTGCATAGGTGGACCTCGATTATGGGGTATTTCAAGTACATTCTCTAAAAAGAAATTCTCAAAAAAAATAATTCTAAAAAATATGTTCTCTGTGAAGAGAGTTGTAATTAACTTTATGTTGTTTGTCATTCTTATCATGAGTTGAATCCACAATAACTATAGTAGTTTTTGCCTTCCTATCTCTTCTCTCCCCCCCCCCCCTCTCTCTTTATTTCAGACTTCCTGTGCAGATAACACAATTGTAACAAACTTCAGATCTAGTAAGATTTTGGGATTGTGAAAAATCATTTCTCTTATAAAGAATTACTTCCTTTATAGGTGGAAAGTCACTGTGTACAAGTGGACCAAGAGGTTTATTGAAAGTGGAGAACCTACATGAGAACATGGTTCTCCCCAAAAGGATCCAATCACTTATGCTAATTAGGGCCTTATGGAGTGCACCGAAATTTAATAAACACAAAAAGTTTGTCCTAATATGCACAAAAGTTATTGAAGATCATATTTTTCTGAAATTGTTCTCTTATTTAGTTACTCCCTCCGTTTCACAAAAAATGACCTAGTCTGACTTGGCACGGAGTTTAAGAATAAAAAGAAGACTTTTGAATCTTGTGGTCTTAGATTAAAGTTAGATCAAATGTACAAAATTGCCCTTTGATCTTGTGGCCTTAAACATGCCACGTAGAAAACTGAAATTAAAATGTTACCAAAAAAGAATGAGGTCATTCTTTTTTAAACAAATTAAAAAGGAAAGGAGGTCATTCTTTTTAAGAAACGGAGGGAGTATTTATATTTGAAGCAAACATGTGGAGTATGTCTTTTCTCTGTTCTCTATTAGCTTACAAATATCTTTTGCTGCTAGTTTGAAAATAAAAGTTGATGTCAATAAGAAGCTCCACACTACCACAGTTTGCTAGCGAAGTTAAAGATCAAGTTGTAAGCTTTGAGATTTGATTTGAGTTAGAGGCTCTCCTAAAGCACAAGGGGTTGGTGGACTTTGAGATAAAACGAGATATTGAGAAAATGCAATGCCCAACTAGTTCATTAGAGGGATATGTCGCGTTGGCAAACTTACTCTTTGTTTGGAGAAAGTGTAGAGAATCTCTAGTAACAGATAAATCCTTATCTGCAAAAGACAAAGCTGTTAAGTATTGGAATGAAATTCTTCACATTGAGCTGAATTGAAAGATTCACAGAGCTGACTCAATTAGTATGGGATTGGTTAGTTGCTACTGTTTTCTTTTGCCACAATGTGGAGCAATTTTTTAAGTGTCTTATATGGCTAATATGTCTTCCTTATTTCTTATCTTCACCGCTTACAACAAACACAATGAATTTTTCTTTACTAATATGTTCTATTTGCTTTTGCAGAGGCATGCTGAGTTTCACATGTTCAATTCCTGATTTTACTTGTATTTCATCTGCAAAGGTTGCATTTCATTATTCAATTCATTCTCACTGCAAAATTCATTGTCAAGATTGATTTGTCTTGTTGAATTTTTATCTCTGGAAACATCACTCTCTTGCAGTGACACAAAACAATCATCACTCTTGTGTACTGACTGTTAACTCTTTTGATTCTAGCATATATTTTTCTGTACTAGCAGAGCTAACTGTCACGACCCGCCAGATACCCCGGCAGATCGCGACCCGTCCAGGCAGCTAGCAGCAGGCGCAAGGGGCAGACTGCCCAAGCAGGCCAGCAGGCAAAGGGGCAGGCAGCAGTTGGAGGGGCAACCGTTTCAGCAGTTTCAGCTGTTACAGCAGTTACAGCCGTTACAGCTGTTACAACAATCAATGGGGCGGCAGTTTTAAGCCTTGGAGAGGCTTGGCAGAACGTGGGGCAGACTAGTCAAGGCTAGGAGTCCCTTTTTGGAAGACTTAGGAGTCATGCCTTAAGTGCATGAACATAGGGGCTTGTATAGTTGTATTTATTTACTCTTAGTGGTTAGAGTAGTATAAATAGTAGGGTCATTGTATTTTGTAAAGCATCCAACAATCCACTAACATATCAATACAAGTCTTTTCTTCCAAAAATCTATCTTTGTTTTCTCTTTCTAAGTTCTCTTAGCGATCCAAGTAGAGGAAGGCTTACTTGAGTCTACAAGATCGTGCAAGAATCGTGAGTAGACCGTCAAGTGCCGTACGGAGTATTGTCCGATTTGAGAAGTCCGTGACATAACAGTCATCACTTTGGCAGAGTCGATTTCACCGGAGCTACCATTTTGGCTGCGACTAAACCATTGGGAGAAACCCCTCGAACATCCATGTGAGTACGAACTTGTTGGCCAAGTTTAACAAAATTCTTGCCAATCAAGAACTGGAATATGGATGCGTAAGTAGATGGCGGAAATGAGTTTTGGTACAATGGTTGCAAAATGATTTTCAACATCATTCAACAAAGGAAAATTCAAAGAATCAATTCAATATTCCTTTGCATTTTCTATTTCAAATATACTAACACTCTGAACAAAACCAGCATCAGTAATTCCGATTCCAGATGCAAATTATCAAGTGCTGCATGGAGCTTTAGTAAGACTCTAAGTCTGTGACATAAAAGACATAAATCTTGACATTTAGTTTTACCATTTTCAACGTCTTTCATGTGCTGTTCAATAGGAAAAGAAAGTTAACCAGAAACTAGAAAGTACTCACTCCGTCAGCTTTCACGCATCAACATGTACTAGCTAACTTTGTCCACCAAGGAATATCTATTACCTTCAACCAGCAACAAGTATCAGCTAACTTTGTCCATTTAGGTTAAAACCTTGACTAAATCCATTGAAAACCTATTACCTCCCACCAGCAACTTATGCCAACTAACATTGTCTACCAAGGGATATCCGTTGCCTCAACATTGTCCATCGAGGGATATCCATTGCCTCCCAGCAGCAACAAGTACCAGCTAACATTGTCCAATCGAGGGACATCCATACCAAATAATTTTTGAGAAAGTAATTATTTAGGGTGATGTTTATTTGTGCTTGGAAAACAAATAGCCATTGAATTAGTAAAATTTGCAATTAAATCACATTACAAAAATGTCTAAGGTAATTTATCCTAAATACAATAGTGATATCAATAATAATATATTTGAGTGTAATGTCATAATCAAGAATTTATAAAAATAATATGTCAGTAGGTTTAATTACTGATATATTAAAATTGTTTCGATAAATTCTTGATTTAAAGAGTACAATCAACAAATAAAAGAACAAATAGTAAAATATAAGATACGTATATTTTTAAATAGTAGTGTACAGTAGGACTAGATGACAAAATAAAATTGTAAGAAGAAGAGGATAGTCTTTACCATTCTCACACAAAATCATATCTCGTCACAAATGAATTTACAGTTACTCATAAATATATTTAATAAAATGATAGTATTAGCAAAACATAATTGATGTGTTAGTTCATCAGTTATTATGCACTTAAAGTTATTTATAAAAAAAAAAGGTCAAATGCCCCCCCTAATCTGTTGTCCGATTTCTAAGTACGTACGTAAACTTTAGAGGGGTCATATCACCCCTGAACTGTTTAAAATTGAAATTTTTGTACTCCTAAAAAGCCATAACCATATTTATGTTGATGAGTGAAACTCACGCGTTTTGACACATGAAAAATCCATTAGAAAAAGTTTTTCTTCAATTTTTTCATTATTCTTTATTCTTTTCTTCTATTTTTTCACCATCTCTCCAACACAAAAATATTTTCACTATTTTCTCCATTATCATAAACACCAAAGGTTCACTAATCACTACAATCTTCAAAACGAAAAGGTCGGCAGTGATTTTGATTCTTATTTGTCATTTCGCCCACTACTTAGTTGGTGCTAAGATCATTTTCATGAATACATGTGTCAAATTTCTCAAATTAGAGTAAATGAATAACAATGGAGGAAAGTCGAATGTGGGTTTTATTAAAAATTTAAAATTCTTCGTTTGTTTGAATTAAAATTACAAATTTGGAGCTTTGAAGAACCAAAAAAAGAATTTGCCGACCTAATTGACCTTAATTTGTCGTTTGACCATGTACAAGGATGATTAACAACTCCAATAATATCGATAAAGAGTTGATTTTCAAAAACTCTTAATTCCATACACAAATTAAAATCAAGAAAAATGCGAAAATTTTATGAACAAATCTAATAACAAAGAACGAAAAAATTTCTACGAAGAACAAAGAAAAGAATAAGGAAGAAGATAAAATATTTGTTTTGGTGCTCACTCTATCAGGGAGTGAAATACATTCACTATGGAGATGATAATTTCAATTTTAAACAGTTCAGGAAGGTGATATGCGTAAAGTTTAAGTTAATAGATAATCAAAGATATCTGTTGACGTATTGATTCAATGTTAAATATACAGTTGAGTTACTTATAACTTATAAATACAATAAGTAATTTTTTTCCTTCTACCATTTGAAAAAAAATAACGCGTACGTCATTGTCTTCAATCATCAACGATTTATTATTTTCAATGTGATTATATTATTAAGTAATTAATTCGTCCCAAATACCAATATCTACTAACATTCTTTGCCTAATGTTTAATTGTAATTCCTACAGATTTTATTTTTTTGAAAATAATATAAAGTACACCATTTCTCTGCCGGGAAGAACAAATACACAGAGAGAGAGTGTATTGTGCACTGATATCGAGCAATGTATTGGGTTACGGCAAAAAACGTCGTCGTTTCAGTTCCCCGTTGGCGTTCACTGTCCCTTTTCCTCCGTCCACCACTTCGCCGGCGTTTCTTATCTTTCTCTCCACATACTCTGTAAGTTCTTTCATTTTCTTGCGTAAAGTTTTAAGCTTTTTATGTATTTGTATCTTGGTGTGGAGAAAATGTCACTAGTTGTGGGGTTAGTTAAGGGTGGGGTGGACAAGAATTTGTTATGTTGTTTGAAAAAGATGGGGTTTTTCTTCTTGCATAAAGTTGAAAGCTTTTTATGTATTTGTTTCTTGGTGTGGAGAAAAGGGCAGTAATTGTTGGGTTAGTTAAGGGTGGGGTGGTTTGTGGAAGCTCAGAAGGCAAGAATTTGTTATCTTGTTTGAAAAAGATGTGATATTTCTTCTTGCATAAAGTTGAAAGCTTTTTATGTATTTGTTTCTGGGTGTGGAGAAAGTGTCACTAATTGTGGGGTTAGTTAAGGGTGGGGTGGTTTGTGGAAGCCCAGAAGACAAGAATTTGTAATCTTGTTTGAAAAAGATGGGATTTTTCTACTTGCATAAAGTTGAAAGATTTTTATGTATTTGTTTCTTGGTGTGGAGAAAAGGTCAGTAATTGTTGGGTTAGTTAAGGGTGGGGTGGTTTGTGGAAGCTCAAGAGGCAATAATTTGTTATCTTGTTTAAAAAAGATGGGATTTTTCTTCTTGCATAAAGTTGAAAGCTTTTTATGTATTTGTTTCTGGGTGTGGAGAAAAGGTGACTTATTGATGGGTTAGTTAAATTTTTGCCTTTAGTCTTAGATGCTGGATGCATAAATGAGGGTAACACCATTTTAATTTTTTGATCTACCAACTAGTACCCTTTTTTATTAGGTAGGTGTTTTGTGAGGATGTGGGTGGTGGTGGTGTGAGACTGTATCATGGATTTCGAGAGGAGGGACTCATTGCTTTGTGAAGTTGAAAGAGGATCCAAATGCAGTAAGATCATCAATAATAGGAACCGAATGCAGTATATCTTTTTTGAAATTGATTGTGCTTTTGAGTACAAGATACAGGGATACAGAGGTTCTGAACAGAGGTTCCACAAGGTTGATGTTTTCAATCTTTAGTACCTGAAAATTCACTTCTGTAATTGGAAGTGAGAAAGTTAATTGAATTCACTGTCATTCTTTATTTCAAATTGTTGGATTTCACTGTTAAAATTGACACATAGTCATGCTACTTTCTTTTTTGATGAAGTAATAAATTTCATTAGAAAAGGGCAAAAGCTTGCCTGTATACAACAAGTATACCTAAAATAGAAAACCTTACAATAGGACATGTTTTTTTTTACAAATAACACCCACTCATCTATACATGTAGGAGAATCCTATGGGTGCACCAAAAAGAAATAAGAGAAAACAAGCTATTCTTCAAGTAAACAAAGTCTTTCTCTACTCCCTCAGAAACTCCTCTATTCCTCTCTCGCTATGTGATCCACATAAATGCTAGAGGTGCAACATCTCATGCCTTGTAGGATTCTTAGGATCGTTGTAAGTATTTTTTTTCTCTTCTTTTGTTCCCTTCTGTTTGCAGGTCACCAACATATCCCTAATGCTGCAGAGTACAACATTACCATTTTCAAAAAATAAAATATAATATTGTTTCTTTCACAGTGCTCACCATCACTTACTCAAGGATGAACCATCCAGAATTCCCACCATAAACAAGAAGCTATCCGACAATGTAGATGAAGGTGATTCATCTTCACCTAATTCTTTGCATATGAAACACCAACTGGCATTAGTTATCTTTCTCTTCCTCAAATTCTCCACTGTCAGGATCACTCACCTCGTAGCTAGTCAAGTAAAAAAACATACCTTTCTTAGTTCCGATATATGTGGAAAATCACCTACTCATGCTACTTTCATGTCAGGGTGACTAGTTCTGCCCAAGCTTCCACCTTTTTCTACTTCAGACCAATTGAGCTTTCTGGAGTTTAGATAGATCATAAGCATGAATGAAGGATAAACTATATTTGGCCTCCGCCTCGCGCCAATGCTGCTTCCACCCTTTTTTCAAAAGTTATAGTACTATTGGAATCGGTGAACATTTTTGGTGGATTATTACAATAGTATGGTGTTGTATGTGGCACCTTTCTTGCCCAAGCATAAATTAAATTTGTTACTTTCTAAATTAAGAAGAAGTACAGGTGGATGACGAGGCACAATTATGGAAGTACTAGCAAAAAGTTATGTATGTAGATCATCTGTTCGATTTGTCCGAGTGAACTAGTTTTTATACATTAGCTCCCATATAGACACACGTGATGTAGGAGCTGCAAGATGGATTGTCCATCAAATGATAGGTTAGAAAGATGGGCT